TCATTGGAATTATTATCCCTCGGAACTGACGTGGAAGTGGAAAACCACCTGACTGTTTGTAGTGGACAATGGTCTTCCAAGGGGCCATTCTCCACTTCCATGTTGGTTCCAGGGAGTGTACGTAGAACTTCTAGAGCATGCTGCCCTTGGTCCCTATCATCATTTATCATCCAATCTTGACAGTGTTTGTGGCTGCAAGAGACCCAAATACCCAACTTCGCACAACTCGCAATAGACAAAACATACCCACCACATCTCAACACCTTCCGAACGGTGCTTCGGCCTTGCAGCGTTTTTCTCCCAGACACGGTGCGCTTCCACGAACCAACATCTCCGCTGGTTTGGGATCGATTCCTGGGTCGGACCGGGTTGGATCCTCTCTCGATTCCTCGGTGAGCCACTCTCTTGGACAAATGGAGCCCTTTTTTTGAGCGGAAGATGGCCAAGCCTCCTTTTGGCCGGCGCTGGTTCCTGGTTCGAAGGGGGTCTCCCGGCCAAAGCGGCGCACCGCGAAGGACGCATCATGTGATGTCCTGGGCCTCGCTCGAGCGAGTTCGGCGTGGAGAAACCCACCATCTGCAGGTTCGACTTCGGCCTCACTCTGCCCTTCGTGGCCCTCTCTTTCCTCACCATGATGTTCGTGGCTCGGATGCGGATGGTTTGGAGCGTGTCGGGTGGGTGGAGGGATGTGGAGGGTCCATAAGTACGGGGAGCTGTGACAAAAATTCTGAGAAGGGTGCTGAGGCACCCAAACAAGGACCATCTTCAGTAAGTACTTTGGCCTCAGCGAGGGGACAAGTAGACTAGTACACTTTGCGGTTAAAGGGGTATGTTTGCAGAGGATGGATTATGGTGCCAAGGCAAACCTGTGCGTATAGTGTCCAAGAACTACTGTTTTGGCCTTCTTGGTATACAGGGCTTATGCATCCAAAGATCGGAATTCTCATTGATTTGAAGAGGCTTTGACTGCTCGGCATGTACTAATTACACTCATTATCATTCATGTATATAATCCTATGCTAGAGTTCTACAAGACAGCAGAATCCCCGGTGTGGCTCTTGCATGCTCTTTCTGATGTTTCTCTTCGACTCGAGACTCGAAATCATTTTGGACGAGCGATGACTTCTTTGCCCAGACACCATCTCACCCTACAAGTCCAACGACCCAGTAAAACCAGGTCGTTTGCTTGCTTGAATGGTGTTTTTATATTACCAACTGCCAACTCCAGTAAAATGAGGTCATTGACCTGTAGGGTCATGAATATTCACGAAAGCTAGCACCAGCTAGCTGGAGTTGTCCTTGCTTTAGCAAGTGAGGGGCTGGAATCCTCGAGATCGCCGCATCACGTGAAAACTTCATATGTAGGGGCCCCCCCCCCCCCCCCGGTGGGTTTAAACCCCCCCCTGGGACGCCTCTGGGACACCTCTGGGGCACCTCTTATGGCATCCACTTTGGTTTAACTCCTCCGGGATACGGTGCAACAGATTCAACAAGCTCACAGGTTCATGACATCGACATTGATAGAAGAAACCAAGTATATAAATAATGCAAGCAGCTTTGTTTTGCCTCTGGGACACCTCTTGGGCACCTCTTATGGCATCCACTTTGGTTCAACTCCTCCGTGGAGGTTTTGGGATACGGTGCAACAGATTCAACAAGCTCACAGGTTCGTAAACACATCGGATGCATCGAATAGTGTGGCAAAGTCCAGCCACGCTTCCTTAATTATCGGGGACTTCAATTCTAAGGTTGGCTGTGTCATTGCTGTTTGTGTGTCTTACATGTTCACAACGTTTTACCTCATGAGCATTTGCCTCAATCCGCTTGATGTCTTACCAGTCCGGATGCACACCTGCTAGCTTTCGTCACCTACCCTCGGCCTCAAGTGAACCTTTTGCCTTGAGAGAGATGGCGCGAACCAGAAAGAGAGAGACCGACTCGGTGACCGGCTCTTCGGTGACCGACCTCCGACCTCTTCGACCGATCGCGTGGCGCCGACTGATTCATCCGATCCTTCCCGGATCGAAAAGCGGATGAAAAGCGTGATGATTTGGGGTCCCAAGGTGCTGAATGCCCTGTGGTATTCGCCCATGACCGAGGAGTGTGTGGTGTGTTTCGCCGAGTCACGGTCACGGGTGTTTTGGCTTGGTCACGGTCACGGGTGTTGGGCTGGGTTGGGTTGGTCGTGATTCTTCTCAAAAAGACCGGGGGCACCGGGTCTTCGGGACCTCTTGGGACCCGAATCTTCCTCCAACGCACGGGACGGAGTGGCTCCACGGGAGGATCAGAGCGGAGCTGTTTGGGATCGGACGGAGCGACGGAGCGACGGATGGGATGGACTCGCTCTTTGTGGGGTCTGGACTCACGGCCACTGGTCTGGGACAGGGGAACCTGGTGTTCCAAGGTGGGACATAGTGGGGCCATGTTCCACTTCGTCTGTTGGAGAAGCTCCAGGGTCCAGCTCCAACCAAAGCGCAAAGAACGCGCTGAACCAGATTGCGTGCGCAGGAGGTGGACGAGCGCAACGCCAAGCTGCTGCAGACGCTCTCCGAGGCCACCGACATGTTGGCCAAGGCTGATGAGATGCAGGTGCTGCGGAACACGCGGATTCGGAGCTCATTTCGCCGCTCCCCCCCCCTTGCGGTGGGCACCAGTGAGTTGGTGACATGCGCAAGGAGGAGTGGGATGGGAGGACACGGATGAAAGCGGCAAGATGTTTCAGCGGAATTTGGGGGTTGTTTTGGTGGATCGGAGGGAAGGATTGGGGTCTATTTCTGTCGAGTTGTGATTTGTCGATCCTCCACCCCATGTTGCAACATGCTGTGTTTTGTGGGGTGTCCTCAACATGTCGTCTAGCCATCAACCCTACTGGCACGAAGCTGTTGCAGGTGCAGTACACTGCCGACATCAAAGAGGCCCGGGAGAAAGCCTCCAAGGAGCGTCATAATTGAGGTCATGGTGCATCACTGCGCGTGGCCGCCGGTTGACACCATGTGCACCTGCCTGCAGTACCTGCCAACTGAGTGCAAACCATCCTATCCTCACTTTCACCTCACCGGACCGCCCCGCGTCCGCGCCACCGACGCGAGGAGCTCGCGGACGCGCGCAAGGCCACCGAGGAGGCGATCGCCACCGAGGCCAGGGCTGCGGACTCCAAGCGGGAAGCTGAGGCGCGGTGGGTGTCGGTGAACGGAGAGGTGCAGAGAAATGCAGAGAGGTCAAGGGTCCAATCATGGTGGGCCAACCGTCTTGATCCATATATAGGTGAAGAGGTCAGGTCTGGGTGATGAACTGTGGAAATGTTGTGGCGTGGGGTGCGTGGGCAGACAGATGCAGCAGCTTGGGATGCTTGTGCAGTTTGTCCGTTTTTTGGGCATGTCACCTGTTTCTAGAGTGAACTACAACCACATGAAAGTACATGGATCCTTACCTCTCTTGCATTCGCTTGCATAGCTTTCCTTGATTTTCATTGTTGTATAAACAAGATAGACCCGTACAGACCTGCAAAATGGAGGGTGCTTAGCTCGCACACTGAGGTATGCCAGGCTTACCAGGCTTGGACCGGATGGACGCTCGACCAGGCCCGCGACTTCAAGGCGAAGCTGGATGCGGAGTTCGCGGAGAAGGTGAAGGGCTCCGAGAGCACCATCAAGGAGCAACCCGCCGACCGGCCCGGGAGCGCGGAGAGCGGTTCGTGCGGTTCGTGCTGGGAGTCGGTGGAGTCCGCGGTGCCTTCAGGTGGTTGGATCATGTTGGATCCAGTGCAGATTTGTTCTACCTTTTCAGCCAGGTCAAAGGCAGAACTGGTGCACAGTTGGAAGATCTCTATCGTCTCTCCTTCCCTCTCCACGTGCACCAACGTGACGCGGGTCGGTATGGTGACCATGTTGGTTTGCGTTGGGTTCCAAGAGGCGAGGCGGAGGAGACGTGAGGAGAGGTGAGGAGACGTGAAGCACAGAGGTGCCTAAGCATTGACTCACTCTTCAGTATAGTTCAACTATGTGAACAATCCTTGAACAATCACGTCGACTACTCAAATGTGAGCACTGCAGAGGTTCTCAGGTTGTATGGATGGTAAATGGATGTTGTTTGTGCATGTTTGTGCTCGAAGCAAAAAGATGGACATGTATGGTGCAAGTCCAGGGCGTCACACCCAAAACGCCAGGAGCGGCAGCAGGATTTCGTGAAGTCCTCTTTGGCTGCCGTTGGCTTGTGAACCGCCAGGGACGGATAAGGAGCAGACGAGAGTCTTGGGCCAAAGATGGAACTCCAGTCATGGCGGAAGGGTGTACTGCGACCGCCACTGGATGTTAAATTCAGTCCCTGATTTGCAAACGGTCCAATAGATTCCAATGGTTCTTCCCCTTTCTTCCCCTATCTATCTTCCCCTTGAAACCACAGTAGCTGCTTGGGTGCGGGTTCAAGATTCACGAGTATTTTGAATCCCTCCTTGGAATCCAAAGAGTCAGACAGCTATGCCAGCATCTGAGATTGTACAGATCACCCGTCCCTCTTCACGATCCAAGGAGCAGACAACGACGACGGCGTGGAATGACGGTCCGGTCGGTCCCCATTTTTTCGGAGAACGGTGCGGCGAGCTTCGCAAAACAAAAAGAGACGCGTTGCGGCGATGCGTGGTGTTTGGCAGTGGGCGTGGTCGTGGGGTCAAAGCAGTCGGAAGATCCCATAGATAATATACATGATAATTGTCATACCAGTGATTCCAAAGACTAGATCCTGGCGGGGACCTCTTCGCGATTCCGGGAAGACATAGCATCAACCCATTTTTGGAGTGAGTCTCCTGTTTCTCAAAGGGCCTGTATGTCATCGTAGGTGGGGCATGGTTGGCATAAGAGACCCACCCTCAACCCACTTGTATAAGACAGAAAGCGCGGTCCTTTCTCCACCGACTTGACGCCGCGAATAGCTGGGAGGACCCACTCGACGTCTCAGGCGTCCGCTCGTCTCGTCGCGACGTCGACGTCTCGACTCGACGTGAGGTCCTAGCGCGGCTGTGCATCGGATGGATCGTGCGCTTGGAGCACCCAGCGGGGGGCCGGGGGAAGCTGCTCGCTCCGTGCGGTTGGGCGGCCTGCGTCGGTGTCCCGCGCGGGAAAGGCGAGCCGGTGGTGGGAAACTGGTGCGAAGCGAAGTCGCCCGAGCGGTTCACCGGGTGATGGATCCCACCTTTTTACACCGGGTGATTGATGCACAAAAAGCTCCTTCCAAGTGGATGGAATCATCAATTTGTCGCCGTGATGGAATGGCACCCTCGGTGCCCTGCCCGGCTGCCCATGCTACCCTTTGTCAACTGCGACCCCCATCGGGCCCCACCCAAACCCTCCGGCAGCCGAGTGTAGTTTGGAGTGGCCCAGGTCGGTGGTCACAGCCGTCCGCCCGGGACCGATCCAAGGAGGCAGTCACAGCCGCTATACAGTACAAGGTCCACTTGGTCGGTATGGCGGGAGATCTCCCTTAGGCAGGTAGCCCACTCCTCCACCTCTTAGAGGTCCAGTGTGTCACAGGTCGTCTCTAGGAGGGCCCATCCACCTTCTTCTCGAAGATGCTCCTTGCCTTCCGTGCCGACGCGAGGCCAAGAAGGTGCCTTAGATACAGATGCCCGAGAGTATTGCCTGCAGGTGGGGAGAAACAACGCTTCAACCGCGGGGGTTGCGGGGAGCGAGCGGTTCTTTCTTTTGGGGCGTGGAAGGTTCCATATGGGCTGATGGAATCGTGCGACGGGCCTAAGGAATCGTGTCATCCATATCTTCCAGTATGGAAGACTTCGAGTATGGTGAAAGGGTGGTCAATGGGGCGTAATATATTCTATATACAGTGGATTGAGAGTAGATGGCACTGGCACCCCAAGATGTCTTTTATATAGGGGTCCATATAAACCACCAAACTTGGGGATTGTGCCATTGGTCCTCTCAACCCACACATGGATGGTTTGGGGTATGGGAGACTTCCATGTTGCTGAAACCGAGTTGGTCCGTTCGTGGGGCCTGGTTTTGGGCGGTGGAAAAACCTCAGTCAGCACCAAGACAAGCAACGGGCCAGTTCTGTATCCGAGGGATGATCAGAGGGATGAACATGGCGATGACACTCACCAAACCTGCTGGTTACTCTCCCAAATCAATCCAAATCACACTTCCTTTGGGGTGAACTTTTGGTTTGAGATGCTTGACCATCTGACCATCCTTATTCATATATACCTGGAGGACCTAGGACTTAGATGACACTGTTGGGGCATTAGAATCGTTGAAGCATCTGTAGAATTCACAAACTCTTCCAGCAGGCCGTGAGCGGCTTGTTTAGAGGGAGTGGTCACACATGGTCTGGAGCACGTCTGCGTGGGTTGTGGAGATTTTTCCAGTGTCGCCAAATAAAGCCAGCGCAAAGGGAAGCGAACGCATGCGAAAGCCATGGATCCATTCAACTTGGACTACCCTCCCGGCAAACAACATGGTTTTCGTGGACTTCACCACCTGTTCGGTCTTCGGAGTTCGTCTGGACCAGGACGTCCCCTTAAGAATTTGAACGTTAACACGATGTCATTGGAATTTCCACTTCACCACCTTCTAGATCCCCCAACTGCCCCTCCCTACCACCACCTCCTCGTGGCCGTCCGTCCGGCCGCCTCCAGGCCTTGGCGCCGCTGTGTGCGGAGCTGGACACGGTGGAGCTGCTGGCGATCCGCAAGGCCTTGGAGTCAGGCGCACCGCACCGGTGGTGTGCGAGCGAACGGAGAAAGACTCGGGGGAGACGGTTGGGATGACGTCTGTGTGGTGAGGTCGTGAGGTCGGGGGTGGTGGGGGTCTGAGAAGGGGATTGGAGGGGCTGGGCGGGCAGCTAGAATAGCTGGAGAGTCAAGTGAAGATGGTGTTTTTTTTGTTGGGTGTGTGGGTGTGTGGAATTTTTGGGTGGGTGGCTGTGGTCTTTGGTTTTCGGATAAACTCATGGACTGACTCATGGGGGATGGCGAGCCGGTCGAGGCATGGGCCTTTGAGGCCTTTTCGTTCGAAGATGGTCCTCATTCTGTGATATGTGAGCACCCCCCCAAGACTCTGCTAGCTGAGCCATCCCCCTAGCTCTGTACCACCATCCTGTCGAGGTGAGCCATCTCCAACGGATGGTCGCAGCTCCGATGATTGTGAGAAGGATGTTTTGCGAAGCCTTGCAGACCCCTCAGCACCCCTGCCCTCCACCAGAACGGGCATGGGGTCTGTTTGTCCACGCCCGCCGCGTGGTCCTGCAGTGCATCTGCAGGTTCCAAGGAGAAGTCCTTCTCCCCGGTCTGGGGAGCTCAGTGGGAGTTTGAGGGTTAACGGACTCAGGTATTCAGGTATTATGGATTTAGAGTTTATGGCTTGTAGGTGTTGAAATGAAGACCTTTAAGTCAGCAAATTAGATGAAAAGTGACCACTTCCAAGGTTTTTTGTTCTTCTGTGTTCATTGAGTTACTTGAAAAAAGCTTCTCATAAACAAAGAAGAGTCTAAAGATTCTAAGGAGAGCGTATAGAGTTAGGTAAGGGATGCACGAGTCTGCTTGGTGGAAGCTGTATCCTGCAAGGTGGTGACCGAGCAATCAAATAATATTGGTAATCGATTTATTTGCGAGGCTTTAGGGTTAACGGACTCAGGCGGTATTCAAGCATTATGGACTCAGGGTTGGTGGCTTATGGATTTAGGGCTCATTCGAAGCCGTCTAAAACACGGTGCTCGAGACACCTGGAACCCAGATGTGTAGGTTTCGACCAAAAAGGTGTTGAAATGAAGACTTACAGTAAGTAAGCAAGTTAAATAAACAATAAACACTTTCAATTTTTTTTGGCGTCCAACTTCCAGTGTTTCTGCCAGCGATGCTCGTGGTTGTTTTGGTGGACATGTAGACAGGCTGATGAACCGCCCCCTACTTGTAGGGTGCAGCCACCCAAGTCCAGGAGAACAAGGGATCAGTCGACCATCTCCAGGTACTCTTTAAAGACATCATGGTCGCGTCTGTCTCTCATGCAATGTGATGCTTTGACGCACGATCTTGTTTCTCCCAACCACCTGATCCTATGATATTCCTCTTTCCTTCTACATCCTTCTGCCTTCTTTTCCACACCCCCAACCCCCCCCAGCCCCATCCCCCAGCCAACCGCCGGCTTGCTCTGGCGCAAGCTCCACCACCTGGACCTGGACCGTTTCGAAACGTCTCGGCCGAGACCGTCTCCAGGTGAAGATCATCCAAAGGGACGAGCTTTGGGACTGCGATCTCTGGAGCTTCCTCGACGGCAGGAGCGGCACCGAGCGTTCCGGCGCGGTGCGCGGCATCCCGAGCTTCCGCCGCGCGTCAAATGCGCGCGTCAAACGGGTGGGGGGAGGAGCGGAGGGCTGTGTGAGTGTTGGAAATGGCGAGGACAGGTGCACTGCGACAAAGGATTGGTTGGTTGGCAGGAGGCCTTCCTTTGCGGTGAGTTCATGACCGGGCTCAAGTTCCACCCGAACAGAATCGAAGAACTCCATTTGCACCAAGAATACATGGGGCCCACTGATAGCCCTTTTTGGTTCAATTTTTCGTCATCATTCAACATCGATGCAGGTCCCTTTAGTTCTCATTCCTCTTCTGTTCAGAGGACCAAGCCTTGCTGAGAAAGCTCGTCACCACGGCCAGCCTCGTGTCCCAACTCAGCCAAACACTTCGAGAATCTTTGAGAGACGTTTGCAAACAATACAAACTGTGGATACACAGCATGCTTAGATATGCTTAGCATGCACACTCAAGAAACAGCCCGAAGTGAAATCAACCTACAGGTGGTTGAGTTTCGCCTGGATAGTTCGAGCAACCTCGCGATGTTTTGCCCGCAGCGTTTTTCGAGATTGTTTGCAAATGAAAACCGATGTGTTCTTGTTTGCTTGGCGTGTAGCCAGCTTCTAAATACAGCTCCTGATACTGATCCCAAAGCTACTACATGCAAACAATGCCAAAGAACATGCTTTCCAGGAGCTTAGATGCCTTTGACCTTCGCGATAGGCCGGCATGTGGGCATATGTGGACCTGGCATTGGCTTGTGCTTGTGACGTTGTCTCGCTGACGGATGACCAACTGGTGGTTCCCCTGGTTGTCTGCATCGCAGATTGAAGCACGCACGGAGACTCTCCACAAAGCTTGGTCCTTCAATCAGCAGACCATTGGGTCCAGGAGAGCCTTCCGAGCAGACCATTGTTCGGTGGACCTGGTGCTGTAGCCTGCTGTAGCCTTCATATATAGTTGTTCGTTAAACAGAAACAAGTACATGGGATTGGAATCCTAGGGGATTTGTTCATCTTTCATCACTGTTACAACCATTGGCGAACTTTGGTGATGTGGAGGCTGTCCCTTTGGCGTCTAAAATGGTTGGCACGGCCCCAACGCGGAAGGTGACGTTGTCCACTTTCATGATTGCTGGGTATTTTTGGCTGGTTAAATCCGAAAAAGCTTGTTTGAATGTCAAGATCACCCAGGGGGTCATGGATTGGGTGATGCTCTGGGTCATGAACAGCAGTTCGAAGGCGTCTCCAAAAGATCAACCTGTCCCCATCCTTTCATCCCTGGACTTCCCAAATTTCATCCCAGCTTCACTCCCTGCTTCCAAACCCTAAGGCCCAGCTCTCTAGATGGCTCTATACCAGGGTCGAGCCCGTAGAGGTTAAGGATGGTTAAGACCTGTCTGTCTGTCTGTTAACCACCCCAAACAGGAGGCTCCTGGTATGAACTTGGTGCTGCTCTGACTCGTCACCCGACCTTACTGTCTGCGTTTACCTTGTCACCCGACCTCCCCCTCGCGACCGCCGCTCGGGACGCGTGCGGTCGATCGAAAAGGAGGCTTCCCCCATCCGAGACCCGCCCAATATTGGAGGGGGGGTTGGTTGTTGTCGACTGGAGGGGGGGTGGTTCGAACAATTGGAGGGGTATTGCTGTCTTGATGGGTGTGTGTGTGTGTTACCACCTGTCTCTAAGGTTTGTACCTGGTAAGTCTGCCGTAGGTTCCACTAGAAGGCTGGGTGCTACTAGTAGCTTCTGGCCTTACTACTAGGAATTAAACTGAAACAGACACAGCGCGAGTCAAAAAAGAGGCAGGGGG